CCCGCCCGCGCTGCGGCCTTAAACGCACAGAGACCCCGGGGACTGGAACGGGGTTCTGAAGCCTACCGTGTGCCCCGGCGCCCTGCCTCCGCCTTGGGCGCCGTCCGACTTCCTTGTGGGTGAGACCCAGCCTTTGCCCCCAGGGCGCCCGGCCAGCGAGGACCTCAGAGATCTGTGCCTCAGTTTCCCTGCTTTGGGGGGTGTCGACCCTTACACCCTGGCGTCCTGGCCCCATTAATTAATTTATTAATGGTACTGGGACTCGAACTTAGGCTCTTGCTCTTGCCAGGCAGGTGCGGCGCCACTGAGCTAAATCCCCGGTCCTTCCGTTTTCATTCTAAACCACAAACTTACCTGGGCTGGGCTCAAACTTGTGACCCTCCTGCCTCAGCCTACCAAAGTGCTGGGGTCCCAGCGTGCCCCACCCCATCAGGCTGATGGTGTTTGTATCGCTCTTTAACGTAGAATGATGGTCAGCTAGACGTGGCCTGGGGTCGCAGGGCACACGCACCCCATGTCTCTCTCGCTTCCCCACAGTGCCCCCTGGATGAAGCCAGTATGGCCGGCGCTTCTGGAGCAGCATAGGGTCAGAAGAAAGGGGCAGGGCGCGCTTGGTGGCCACAGGATCCAGTTTGCCCCTGGGGCCTCTGGCCAGGCCAGGAAGGGAAGAGTGGTCTCAGAGAGAGGTTTCCTGAGTCAGCCGCACGGTGCCTGTCCACAGCGGTGCCCATCCCAGCTGGAGGGACTCGGACGCCAGGGCAAACAGTGGTGGTGTCAGGGGGGGCCAGAGCGGCAGCCTCCCTGCCACAATCAGCACCGCGTCCTCTGGAGTGAGGAGACTGAGGCAGCACCGTCTCCCTGTTTCAGGGCCGCAGACAAGGCAGGTTCGCTGCGGGAGACGGTGACAGCAGGAAAGTCTCTCCCCAGGCAGGCAGGAAAGTCGCTCCGGAAGCAGCTGGAGGGGCTGTGACCCGAGGCAATCGACAAGGGCCAGCTGGCCCGGGGCTGCTCCCCAAGCTCTGGAACCTGATCCCGAGTCAGAGCGCCCGCCTGGCACACGAGACCCTGGCACCAGAAAAAGGAGTGCCCAGCCCAGCACCGACACAGAAGAAAGGACGGGACACTTAGGAGCAGAAGCAAACCTACAGGCCCACCGTAAACTGAGAAGAAAACTATAGCCTGTAACACAAACTGTTCCCGTCCTTGGCACGGAAAGCCTCTTGGTTACCCGTGAGTAAAGGATAAGCACCCTCAGGGTAGAGGAGCTGAAAGCCACAGACAGCTCACTAAGAAATACCGCAAATCACGAAGAAATGGCCAGTGATCTTTTAAGTTCAGTTTAATCACTGATTCAAAATAAAAGCAGTGGGACGGGGCGGCCGCGGGGAGACTGGGGCACTGCATAGGGCGACGGGGGAGAGGACGCCGGTCAGGAGCTGAGGAACGGGCGCTGCGTGGCCTGGCCTGGGAACCGCTCTGGTGCAGGCGCTGGGGCCCGGGAGGAGGCTGCCGTCTCAGACCCCGGCCTCAGTCCCCCCTGCAAAGCGGCGGGGTTCACAAGAGCGCCCCAATCTC